TGTGTGCCAACATGCCTTTCCAATGTTAAAAATTTCCAGTGGGAGAAAACTGTATATAATTAGAACACTTGGGATTTTGAGTAATACATACTGAAAGAAAAAATAACCCTCATTTGTAGATAAAAATTACAGTGGAATGAAATGTACAGTACAAAAAGCATGTCAGACATAGTCCAATGTTTGTGTAAAAAGAGACAAGATTAGAATACTGAGGGAATGCCTTGAAACTTGTATAGGAGAAAATGGGCTAATGATCATTTTGATTTTATCTCAGCTAATTTTAAAAACAGGTAAGTATTTTAATGAAATGTTTCTGTATAATCGGAGTTATTATTTAGTAGCAGTTTTACTTTTCAGTATATTTAGAACATGAGTTTGTTTAAAATTGAAGTGACTTGCTTAACTTTTGTGGCGGTTTTTAATACAGTAGCACTCTGTTTATTGTAGTTAATCTGCTGCTTATAGCATATTTTGTGTTAGGAACCTGTAATTTCCTTCCTCTTTGCAAGAGTTTATTTAAAAGATCTGTAATTTTTACTGACTTTGTTGAAAGTACTTTTCTTGTATACTTTGGTAGTGACATTTACATATTTCCTTAATTGACAGTCTTTTTCTTAAAAGTTATTTTCACCCTTTAGGTAAATATAAGGTTAATGGTGCTTGCCTACTATCTACTGGCTTTAGCTTCCACTGATGCTTTCCCTTTTTTGATTCAGCAGCTTTAAAACCAAAAATTGTAAGATGTCTTGAAGGTGAGAAGCAGATCATATACAGTTAGACAGCTTTGATAATTACATTTTCCAAACTTATTTTATACATTAACCCATAATGAAAGAATTTGAAATTGTAGTACAGTGAGAAAAGTTTTTGAAATAAAATAAAACATTTCAGAATCAAGTATCAAAATTCAGGAATCAAACTTAACCTTTTAGGCTTTGTATTTCAGTCTGGTTTTAATGTTGCACTATATTTAACTTGGAAAAACACATAGGTTGATGCCCCCTTGTGGTCTGTTACCAAAATAAATAGCACAAAAATAAATAAGTACCGGAGCTCTTACTGTATATTAAACCATTGACTGTTTGTTTATAAAATACATTTTAGAAAGCAACTTCTGAGGAAAACCAGCCAAGGAATTATTATTCCCGTTCTTCATATAATTTGTTGATCTTAGATCTTATTAAAATTTGGCAAACATAATTTTAGCATTTTAGCAGTATGTTATTTGGACACTGATGTACAGAAAAATAGGTTGTTGGATGAGTTGTCCATCATGGTCATCCTTAACATTAATTTGATTATTGTTAAAAGTGTCTAAAAAATGTGATGAGGGGCTGTGGATTTAGCTCAGTAGTTCTGTGCCCTGCCTTGGAAGTGCAAGGCCCCGAGTTCGATCTCTGAAAAAAAAAAAAAAAAAAATCAGATCCCAGAAAAAAATGTGATGAGATGTGTTAGCCATTTGAAGGTAGACCATTACCTTCTCATCCTCCCCCTTACACAAACACACACACATACGCACACACACATGCACACACGCACACATGCGTATGCATGCATGCACATGTGTAAATGGTGCTTGGGAAATTTGTTATTTACGCTTAGTCAATTGATCTGAAAGGGCGTGGAGTGGTATGAAGCAATGTAAGAAATAAGAATTCATATGAATGAATTGTTGAATTTAAGCTTATTTGTTTCTATTGTTGGCAAGGTCTTGTTTGTATATGAGTTGTTTTGGAGAAAGTTGAGAGCATAGCGACAATATTTTAAGAGAGACTGAAGATGTAAGCAGTAGCTTTACTTGTGCAGTAAATTATATGGTTGAAAGCAGTCCAAATACAAGGGAATAAAGACTTTGGTATTTGACAGACCTGGGTAAAAACTAACCCGATCTTGGACTGTTGTATAATTTTGAGTAAGTTACTTTCTGTCTTCAAAATTAGAGGTTAAAACCTAATCCACTGAAATGTTTGTGTGTTGATTTTTGTCCTATAAAGGCTTGGCTTATTCCACTAGTGTTATAAATCTTAGGTTAAGGCTAGTTTTGAGTTAATAAGAAAGTATATTATATGATTTTGTAGTTACTGGATTGTTGGTTAATATCCTTAATGATAGTCTGTATCTTAAAAAGTGCGGCACAGCACCTGCCTGGCAAAAGCAAGGTCCTGAGTTCAATCCCACGTACCCCCCCAAAGTGCTAAATCAGCTTATAGTCCTTTTTCTTTACTGTGTACTTACAGCTGTACTACTATATGAATACATATTTTATTTATAATTTGACTGCAAGTATAGTCATATTAAAGAATTTCCTAGGTCACTTATTTTAATAGTAGAAGTTACAGACTTTATAAAAGTACTGCAGTCTGGGCTGGGGATTTAGCTCAGCGGTTTGGTGGCCTGCCTTGCAAGCACAAAGACCCAGTCAATCCCCGGTACCAAAAAAAAAACAAAAAAACAAAAAAACACAGTTTTTTTCTAAGGAATAACTTTTGCATATTTTAATAGATTTATTTTTTTAAACAGATTTATCTTTAAAAATCAAAACAAAACTAGTATTGTTCCTCCACAGCATTCTTACTTTTTTGGAGGTCAACAAAGTGATAAAACGTTCTTGCTTTCTTTTTCAAGAGTTGCTTGTAGAACCAGACTCATTCTTTCACAGTCACTTCATTAAGTACTTAAAAGGAATTAATCTTGAGTTTTCAGTCAGAAAACAAGATTATTTGAGGTTAACTTCACAGAGAAATAAGGGTTTCTTTTCTCCCTCTTTACCAGGTACATTTAACTTGAATCATACAATGTTCTCCCTTCTAAAAATTTCATTGACAGTTAAATATAAACAAAAGTGCTTGTGGTCAATGTTTTTTTTTAAAGTAAGTAAATCGTAAGTATTATAAACAGATAACTGTAGACATATCACTGGAAGGCTATTCTATGCATTTTCATATGTTTCTTTTACCTTTCCATTTATTTCTAATTTTCAAAATACCACTTCTTGAGTCTACTTGAGACACATGAGTGTCTCTTGTCTTGAGTGCTGTATGTAACCAATAAAGACATTAAATATAAAAGTGTTTTGGTAGTGAAAGTTTTTATTGTAAATTATGAAATGGATTTTTGTTGTTGGTCTATCCTTGAATATATGTGCCAAAAGATGCTATTTTAGTAAAGAAAAAGAGTGAGGAATGGGGGACCATGACTAGAACAAAATAGAGGGTGGACTTGGGGTGATGGAAGAACCCATGCCATTCTACCAGTGACTTATTTTTAAACATAAAATGCATTTGTGCCAGATTTACATATTTACTAATTAAAAAGCCTTCCTGGAAACATTAAGTAGACTATCTTGTATAACCTTTAACACTGTCACTAATGGATATAGCCTAGAAGATTTCACTGAAGGTCCTTTAAATAATGTAAATGATTATGAATATGTAACTAGTTAATATGCAGCTACGAAAGGATTATCATGTAGAGGTTAATGAACATTCTGCTCTTACGGTTTGCAGGGCTTTTCTTTTTGTGCTTTTGGCTCACTTCATGCTTGGAAACACAGGCACTGGGATTGGAAAACATCCTGACTGTTTTTGGGTCTCATCTTTTAATGGGGTTGTTAAATAGGAACTTTATGAAAGGGATTTCATTAAGATTTTTTCTTTTTCAATTTACATTTAATTCTATTTGTCTATTTCATAATTACTGCTAAATCAGAAACAGTGAAATAGATTGATGTAGTTTCAGCTTGCCTCTTCCAGATGTAAAGTCACTACTCTATTATATATTACCACTGTTATTAAGTGTTGCTATGTGATTGATACTTACTGAGAGATCTTCATTCTAAAGCAGACTTTTTATGCTGAGTTAATGTGTAGTATGGTTGGGTATCTGATTATAGCATGTATTTTGGTTCAGGATTGCTGCCTTAGTATTTAAAATATCCCCAAAGAAGACATTTATTTTAGGAATTAAATGTTATAATAGAGGAATTTAGTGACAAGTCTAAAAAATACCTTATGATTTTTGGGTGAAACAAGAGACAGTATTGCTATTTAGAACAGTAAATTAGAGCAGTGTGTTGTGAACCAGATCATACTGCTGTCCTTTTCATGTGGCCTTGGCATTTTGGCTTTTATCTCTTAGTTTCTCTGTCTCTAAAATGGTGCTGTGGTGTTTTAGATTACTGTTTAAAAATTTTATTAGTGGGTGATAAGTGATCAGTAATCTTTGAAAATAGTATCAATTTTAAAATTGCCACTCAGAAGGTTTTTTTTTTTTTTACATTGTATTTCCTGATGCTGATTATTTTTCTGAGCATTTTGAGAATCTACTGAAATATTTCAAAGGAAAACAAATAATTTTTTTTTTTGCTTAATTCTATTGCGTTAGTGTTATAAACAGTTTAAATTGGCTATGAAGTACTTAAAATTTCATCATTGTTCACTGGAGAAAAATGAGCTGTTCAGAGCATCTCTGTATCCCAAGTATTTCTTCTTGAAAATGTAGTAGAAAAATCTCTTTGAACTCATTTTTAATACATCAGAATAAAAATTACAGGTGAAAATGTTTGGAGACACACTGACAAAATAAAATATTTTCACCACTTTTTTTTTAACTGGTGAAATGTGGATGTTACATTGGTGTTTTTGTTATTTATAACATTTGCGTATTCTACAAAATATGTAACATTGAAAACAGGTCTGTAGATTGTACAAAATACTAGTTATCTTATATCATGTCACCTAATAGTTATGAAGAGGGTTTTGTACCAAAGTATGAATTGGAAAGATGTAATTTGTTCTGCAGTTATCAGCCTGCATTAGAGGGTTATGATAAAGTATGCTGCTTAAAAACTAACGTTCACATCTCTGTGCCTTTGACAAATAAAAATGTATACTGAGGTGCTATTAAATCCGTAAAGCCACTGTTCTAGTTTTCTGATATACTGATTTTGTAGCTCTGAATAGCCCTGTTTTTTCACGAGTAGTTATCTGCTTTCATGACAGGTGGTCACTAACTGCCAAGAGAAAATCCAGCATTGGTGAGTTAAAGATGGTTTTATTATACTTCTGAAATACTAATGGGGTCATCTACTTGTATTTAAATAATGTGTGTACTGGTCTCTTTGTGTGTATGTGTGTGTGTGTATGTTTATGTGTAACCAGTAATTGAATTCCTGTAATCTCCATTTTGAATGCTTTTGATACAAATTTATATTGTCTTTCACCCTTTTCTAAATAGCGTGTTCCCTAATTTCCTGAAGTTGTGTCACCATTTGTGTTTATTCTGTCTTTTTTCCTTTCCTTTTTTTTAAAAGTTAGAGTAATACTAATATCATTGTGAAGTGGAAACACATTTTTGAATCTAATTGATGGTAGAGAGCTCTGTTTTGAGAATATTTCCTATATTTGTAGTAGAAAACTAATTGGGATTGGTTTTTCTAAATAATAATGGAAGTATAGCACAGATACATTTTCTCAAAGTTTGAAGAATGTAGCTAATTTTCTCCATTTTGGAGCTTGCTTTATGGATTGTACTTTTTTAGTGTGAAAGAAAACATTTATTTTAATGTTCTAATCTATAGTTAATAGGACAGTGCTTGGTAAATAACTTACTTTTCTATTGCTTCTGAGGAAAATGCTCAATTTAATGGTGAATAAAATCTTATATTATTAGTTATTATAAGGTATAGCTGTTGATCTCACAGATATCAAATTACAATATATCCATGCTGTGTTTACAAAGATTTTACTGAGAGAACAACAGGAGCTGTCTTGATTATTGTCTGCAGGGTTATTGCAAAATCATGGTAACTGCCCCTTTAGTGGTGAGATTAAACCTTTGGTTATACACCATCAAGCATATAATATTTTAAATTTATTTTAAGAGGCTTTTTCTTCATGCCTGAGAGATCTCCAAGGAAATAATTTATAGTTAGTACATATCAAATGTTTTTTGGTTTAAATGCACATAGGCTGCAAGCAGTGGATAAGAGTGAAAATCATCACAATCTGTACATATCATCTTATTAAATTTTGACTATTGGCTTGCAGAAAATAATCTAAAACTAATAGTATCCACTTTATAAATAAAAATTCAGGACTTCATTAATTTTCAATAAATGCATCATTGTAGTTGCATCCTCCAGTGGTGTAAGTCTGTCAACATTTCCATAATGGACCATTCACTTTTCATTATACATTCAGATCAGGTTAAAATGTGAAATTCAAGTTGTTGGCCAAAGAATGTTTTTTCCCTGCAAATTTGGCCAAAGTGAGCCATTTTATAAATAACTCCAAGGGGAAATTTCATTAATGTGGACTTCTGTCTTTTGGTTTTGGTTAAATTAGCAGAGGTTGTATTCACTCATAACAGATACTAGTTTATGCAAACTTGTGAATCAGTACTTGGCCCTTGGTTGGTTTATACTTCTGTATTAAAGTTGTTTTAAGGATACTGCACATATCTTTATTCTGTTATCCACAGTCCATCCTACTGTGTTTGGTTCAAAATAGGCTCTTAATGTTTGGATAAATGAAGAGAACATACATAATTATTTTATACATAACCTTTTACTTTACAAACAGTATAGCACTGTACAAATCTGGTGAGCAGTGAGAGGCAGAAATGTGATACTTGAGAAAAGGCATGTGTATCTTTCAGGTCTCACTCTCCAGGTTTCTAAAGCCCCCAAACTACACAAGCTCAGCATATTTGCCTACACATATCTTGAAGTAATGCCATACCTTATCTATATGTTAAAAATTGAATTTTTTTCAATTTATATTTGCTTTTTCTTCTGAATCATTTCTGCTGTGCTTTAGGAAGCAGACATTTCTGTTTGCTTTTTAATGAGAATCTGTACATGGCATCATGATATTACTAGAATCTAAATGGGCAGTGAACTCATCAATTTATTATATTCAGAAATTGAAACCAAAGTGTCTCCATTTTTCTAAAAGCCAGGAAATTGCTATTGAAAGCATTGTTGAATTCTTAGATATTTTTTACATTCTTTTAATTCCTCAAACAATAATTGAGTTCCTACACATGTCAGTATTGTGCTGCTATTTGAAATTGAAAGATCTTGCCATAGAGGGATTCATAGTCAGACGTTAAACAGAGAAATCACAGTAATTTTGTGCTATTTGCAGAGATATGAAGCAAATACAGCAGGAGTTTTGAGGCTGGAGCCATTCTTAAACATGTAGTAGGTTTGAAAACAAACTGATTTTAATTCTTTGACCCTTTATGTTAGCCGATTCTGAAACACAGTTTGTATAGCTCAACACTTATTCTTTATAAGAATTTATATTCTTATAACAAGGAGGCGCAAAATACATGAGTTTTAAAAAATGTATTCTTTTTTTTACTGATGTTTATGCTTGTTTGTGCAGTTTTAAAGGATTTTTTTTAAAAA